AGAGGCTGCTAGGACCACGGGTCAAGGCCATGGTCACAGGGTCAGAGCCAGGGCGCTTGGGAGAGCGGAGGCAAGCCAGGCACGCAGAGGAGGCGTCCAGGCCTCCCCCGACCCCGGCCCCTATCTTGCAGGACCTCACAGTCACAGGAAGTCCAGCTTGAGCCCACCCCACCGGGCACCCCCTGCACTGCTTCCGGTCCCCAGAGCCTCCGGCGATGGTGTGAGCCAGCCCAAGCCCCCCGGCCAACAGGAGCAGGATAACGCCTCTAATCAGGCTGCCCCCAGCAGGGACACCCATTGCTCTCATGCAGACCCCTGGAGGCCACTCCAGCCCCACAGCCATGCCTCTCTGCGGGGACCCCAGATCCCAGCCCTGGCTCTGCCCGCCCAAGCCACCATGGTTAGGGCTCTGCCGCTGCACTGCCCCACGCCGCCCCTCATCACCCGAGCGTCAACATGGCCACCTGATGTCGGCCCACTGTCCTCCTGCGACTCGTCCTCCCCAGCCCACTCCATGGTCTCTGTATATCATGCCCAGGACGCTGCTCTCCACCTGGCCACTGCCTCCTCCTCCCACCCTGTCCCAACCTCAGAGGTCAGTGTTAGGCATCCCCTCGTCTGTCCCCCAGCCACATCCACAAACACCAGTGCAAGCATGGGAAAGAAAGACAACTTCTCGTCTATAAGAACCCATAGCATAAACAAATTAAAGAGCAAAATAAAACAGAAGTAACAGAAAGCAAGGGGTGGGGAGGACAAGGACGCTGTGTCCATGGCACACGCGGTGTCCTGCTCCAGCCACCCGGGCCCTGATGCTTGGAGAGAGGCCAGGAGAGAGGCCAGGAGGAAGGTGAGGGGAGCGGATGGAAAAGAAGCCCGCCATGGCGCAGGCGGCCAGGGTTTGGCTCAGCGGCCCAGGGCCTGCCTGGCAAGTGCGAGGTTGTGTTCAATCCCCAGCACTCCTCCCCCAAAATCACAATGTGTCACAGGTATGGACCGTGTCACGGGTCAGGCCCTCACCAGGAATGACATCGCCGTGCCCTGCAAACACAACAGAGCAAGGGGCACAGTGAGAGCGCCGTGCTCTCCTGGACACCACGGGGCCCCCTCCAGCTGGACAGCAGGTGGCCTGAGAAACTTCTGGAAGAGCCTAGATCAGTCTGGAGGGCAGGCTGGGCTCGAAGGCCTGGGGCTCTGTCCCCCACCCTAGGCCTTGGGATGCTCTGGGGAGCAATCATGAGATATTTATACCAAGAGGAAGGGCAGGCCCCACACCCACGCAGGGCTTCAGGGCCACTGGCCGCGGGGACAGGGCAGGAACAGGGCAGCCCAGGCGGGCAGCAGAGGTCCCTGCCCGAACGCTGACCTTGGGAATGCTCCCTCCCCTCTGCGCCCCACGCATCCGGGGTCAGCGGTCACTCTATTCTCAGAGGCCCCTGAGGAGAGGCCGGGGCCCCTGGGGGCCATCAGCTTCCCTCACAAGCAGCCAGGCAGCCCCCAGGCCCACAGAGGGGACGCGACCCAGGGTGCACAGAGCACATGGCATTCACGGACGAGGCCACAGCAGCTGGGGCTGGGACGCAGCCCAGACTGTACGAACTGTCCCACTCAAGGCCACCAGGGCCCTTGATCTGGAAGTCACTCTCCTCAACCACCACGTGATGGAACTCAGCGGAACCCAGAGCCACCCCTTCTATGAGCCGAGGGCTGGAGCCACAGCAGCAGAGCAGGTGACCCAGGCCCACAGACCGAGCCAGGGGAGGGCTGGGGTCAGGACAGGGGTTGTCACTTGCAGTGTCACCTTCTTGACTTCCCCACCTAGAAACTGGTCTTGACTTCCCCACCTAGAAACCTAGATGGCCACAGCCAGGCTCAGTGAGGCAGGCACTTTGGGACTCTGTGTTCAGTCCCTGGGGGTGGGGGGGAAATGAGGCAAGGACCAGGTAGAGAGCTTTCCCAAGGCCACAGAGAGGCTAGGGGCAGAGGCTTGGAGGTGAGGTCCACGCAGCTCCCCTGTTGCCCCCATCCACCCCTACTGGAACCCCAAACTCAGCCTCAGGCCTGGGACCGGCCTGGCTCTGAGGGCTCATACCCTGAGTGGCGCACGCCTGCCCCCCGGTGGAAGCTAATGGAATCGCCCCACCTGGTGCCCTAGGAGGGCAACCCTGTGCCCCATATACCAGGTGTCCCACCCCACAGCCACTGGCTGACGCTGGGACCTCGACCCTGAACAGGGCCCAGAGAGGTGGGAGCAAGGGCGGGGCGGGCCCGGCCCGCCCCGGGGAGCCCATGGGCCCTTTGCGACGGCCCCAGGAGGGTCCCGTGTCACTGAAGTCTTCGGTTTAACAGGCAGGGAGTTCTTGGGGTTCATTGCTATTCCTGGGCTGTCCCCTGTCTCTGCCATTGTCCCAGGAGCCCAGAAAGTAAGGAAGCAGCACCTCCAGGGACGTGCCCCAGTCCATCTGCAGAGTCCCTCCTCTCCGTGGGGTGTCCATGGCACCCAGTGCTCAAGGTCCAAGAGACCCCAGGAAGGCAACAGCCACTGCCCAGCTACACTGGCCTCATCCCGGGCTCTGGCCACTGAGTCCTGACTCACAGACTCTTGTCCTCAGATGCAAAGGCCTGGGAAATCCCAGGAGAGGACTCTGCGCGGGGCCAGGGCCACCGCAGTTGCTGAGCCTACGCCTACAAATCCAGCTGCGGCCGCCAGGGGGTGACAGTGTGTACCCCACCCTCCCCACCACCAGGCTGCAGGACTATGAGGCCGGGCCTGGGCTGTGTGGCTCTGCCTTGCTTTTCCTCACTTCCCCGGCCGGGGCCCTGGGCCTTTTCCCTCCCACAAGTTTCCCTTCCCCACCGAGGGCCCCTGCCCCAGCTGGAGGGGACGTGTGGCACTCACCCCTTCCTAGTGTCCACAGAGCCACACTCCTTTGGAACAGAAAGAGAGCAGAAACAGTTTACCAGGGAACCTGGTACGTGCCAGCACCTCCTCCCCTTCCCACGGGGCTCTCGGGGGACAGCTCTCAGGAGTGGTTGGGAAACACAGCTTGGGGGGTAAAGGACCAGGGTGCCCCTCACTGGCATTAGGATCATCAGGGTTAGCAAATAAGAACCCGGGACACACCACTCAGGGACACCTCAGACAAACATCAGTGAAGCAAGACACCTCGGGGACATCACGGCACTCAAAGCATGCTCTGACATATCTGCCATCCCCAGCACTCAGGAGGCTGACTGCCATGAGCTCAAGGCCAGCCTGGGCTATATATCGAGACCCTGTCTCAAAAAATAGAAAATAAAAAACATGTTCAGCATTCACCCTGCCATCCATCTCCCACCCTGGACTCGAGGCACAGGGGACAAGGCCAGCTCTCCCTCTAGCCTGGCACAGCCCACCACTTCAGTGGCCTCCAGTAGCTTCCTGGGACAGAGGAGAGAGAGGCTGCAGCAGGCCTCAGGCTGGAGGTCTGTGCCTGGGGAGATGAGGCCAACCTGGCCTGGTATGGATTCAATGTGCACCCGGCCCACACAGGTATGGGCACTGGGCCCAGGCTGCGGGGTCCTGGTCAGCTGCACAGAGGTGCCTGGCAGAGGTTGAGACCTCAGGAAACACAGCCACTGAAGCCACTCCTCTCAGGCCTGGTCCTGACCCCGGGGAGCTCCTCTGCCACCCACCCGCACCCTGAGCCATTGCCAAGTCCCAGGATGAGGCAACCTCCACCTCACCCTAAAGCAACACAGCTGCTGCAATGGGGGCCCCCAATGGCCCTTGGGGAGACCTAGCTGAGATCTCATCAGATGTTCATTTTAACAATACCCAGCACAAGGGTGCATCTGGAAGTCCAAAGGGCCTGACCTGTGATCCCCTGCCCAGCAAGGACAGTAACTCACAGAGCCAGGCTGTGTCCAGGGAGCCCCCAAATGCCAAGTGCCCAGACCTATGCCCAGAACACTGCAGGGGTTCTCTGAGGCAGAAGCAGCAGGAGAGGAGCTCCGGGCTGCTACCAGCCCCAGCCTGCCCATGCAGCAGGACCCTGGTGGGCAGGAATAGGTGAGAGGATGCTCATATAGGCCACCCCAGCCTCAGCACTCACAGGCGCTCAGCACCAACCAGGCCCCAGCCCCACCCTGCAACACACCGCATGCCACAGGCGGGAGACTAGGCAGGACCCAGATGACCATGAGTACAGAGGCCACAGGAGGGGTAGGTGGGACCCAGAGGACCATAATGAAGTCCAGCATCAGTGATCCAGCCGCTGGCCCTTGTGAAAGATAGCAGCACTCAGTCTAGAGCTGACCACTCTCATGGCCAGGGGAGTGTGCTGGTATGAAGGCTACACCACATGGAGACAGGGCTGGAGCAGCCACCAGGATCAACACTGGCTCGGGGTCCCTGGTGTCATTCACACCCAGAGCTGCCAGTCCTTCCCAGGAACCAGGCCTCGAGTTGCTCCTGTTTGTGGGACGCATGCATAAACCTGTGATGCATGGATACAGGTGTGCATATGTGAGTGCACCTACACCCACGTGCATACATGTGCAGACATGGGCCCTCTGCATATACACGCGCATGAACATTTATGAGCCTGCATGTGTGTGCATGGGGAGACATGCATACACACAAGCATATGCCCCACACACACATACTCAAGTATTTTTACCAACATGGGTGCGGCTGCCACCTGCTCTGGCTTACTGGAAGGCACCAGGTCAGGGGCAGGGCTGCAAAGCCGTACTGTCCTTCCAGCCTCGGGTAGATGACGCGCAGACCCCAGGCCGGCAGCTGGGATTCGAACCACAGACGCAACTGAGCTAAGCGCAGAGCGGGAGGAAACGCAGAGCATGCGCAGACGGCGCCCATGGGTCCCCGCCTCTCGGCACCCACAGTTCCCCGCGTGCGGCTGCATCCGGAAGTCCGTGGAGGGATCGGCGGACGCTGATGCTGATTCGTTACCAGCCACTTCCACTTCCGCTGACAGTTCCGTTCCTCTGCCCGCCAAGCGCCTGACGTGTCCCTGTGGGAAGTGCGCGCCCGCCCTGTTTTGTTTCCGGGGGAATCCGCTCTCGGAGGGACGCTCGGGACTGTGAATGTTCTCTTTCGCCTCTGATTGGCTGGTTTTGTGAATTCATTATCGCTCAAAACGGTAATTTACTCCTTACACGTTCAGATTAACAAAGATGAACAACTGTTAATTATGCTGCGTTCTGTCTTGTGGGCTACCTCGCTCAGTGTGTCCTATAGCCAGGGAACGGAAAGTCGTCATTACTGCAAAGTGTAGGCGAGATGCGGCCTATAAATAACGCGCGCATAGACTACAAAGTGTGTTGTATGAAAGGAGAGAAGGTTAGCACTCCCCTTGACAAGGATGGAAGAGGCCCTTGGGCCTAACAACACGCATACGGTTAAGGCATTGCCACCTACTTCGTGGCATCTAACCACTGTTTTTTTTTTTTTTTGGGGGGGGGGGGGGTGTGAGTGTGTGCACCCCTGCAGGACCAGCAGAAAAGCGCAGCCTGGGCCTGTATGGCCCAGGACAACTCAGGCCAATGTGCAGTGGCTGGCGGGCTCAGTTCAGTCCTGCGGAGGTCTGGAGTAGATCCCGGGTGCCAAGGGCCCCACCTGGCAGGGCGCGAGTCATCCTCAGGCCCCAGACCTGCACAGGACACGGTCCCAGTGTTCCCCAGCTTGTGCTAACAAACCCGACCTTGCAGCGGGCAGTGTGGGAGCCGCTTTACTGAGGGTGCGACTGTGCCCCCAGCAATCGGCCTCCACTGCAGTGCGGCAGGTGGTCACTGCTGGGCCCTGGGCATCTGCTGCCCCTTCTAGCAATGGTACCTGATTCTACAGATTCTCGGAGGCCGCGAAGGAGACGAGTGGGTCCCGCTGTGACGCTAGTCACACTGGCGGGGGATTTAGCTCACTGGCATAAGTGCCTGCCTTGCAAGCGTGTAGTCATGAATTCAATCCCTTGTACCAATAAAAAAAAAAAAAATTTAAAAAAAAGCTAGTCACACTGTGTTATGATTGATATTGTGGCAACCAGAAGTTTAGAAGTTTAACTGAAACTCCTCAGGGAGCCTGGGCTCTTTGTAAATATCCTGCAGGAGAGCAAGGAGATTTGAGTGCTGCACCTGCACAGCAGGGTGGGGAGTGTGGGCACTGTGTACAGTATAAGATAGGGGAAGAGACCTGCTCTGGCTGCTGCCTTGAAGTTGCCCCTGTGCCATGCCACCCTGCCTTGGAGCCAGCTGAGTGGAGTCAGCTCCACAAACTAAGAAATAAACTCTTCCTTCCTTCATGTGTGTGTCCGGTCGGCTGTTTTGTCCCAGCAAGGAGACAAAAATAATCAAGACAGAATTTGGTACCAGTGGAAGTGGGTTGTTGCTGTGACTGTACCTGACCATGTGGTTCAACAGCCTTTGGGAATGGCTTGTGGGAAGAGTTTGGAAAGGTTTGGAGATGTCACCTGAATATATAAAGCTGGAAAGCCTTAGGCTGTTCTGCATGGGAGATTCTGGTCAGAGCTCAGGAGACCAGAAGCCCAACAGAAAGCCTGCTGGTGAAGGCCGGGCTTGGGAGTTTTTTGCTGGAAAGAAAAACTCCAGACAACATGTGCTATGGCTTAGCAGAAAGTTTGTCTGCATTTTGCTTGTGTCCAGAAACTTTGGCTGAGACTGAGATTAAGGTTGGTAGACTAATCTGGCAGAAGAAATTTCAGAGCAGTCCAGTGCTGAGGCAGTGGCATGGCTACTGCTGGGGAGTTTTAGCCAGGTTTATGTTGCAAATCAAGAGCATAGAGCCCAGCAGGATTATTTAAAATACTGTGAGTTTGGCCAGAAAGGAGGCTCCAGTGAAGCTGTGGGCTACAGAGATGGAGCTGAGAAAAACCTCAATTGCAGAGAAGAAACAGAAGGCACCACAGAAAACAGCAAGTCTCGAACCTTTGCAGCCTCCAAACTGCAAAGTGGAAGACTTTGCTTGGAGGAGAAAGCCTCAGAATACCAGGTTCCAGAATGGCAGTGGAGGTTCCAGAATGGAGACAGCATAGAGAACCTGTTCCTCACAATCAGATTCAGAGAGCCCAGCCATCCAGGCACTCGACCCCTAAGCCAAGAGACAGGAAGCCTGGCTACTGCTCCAGCTGGTAGCAGACCTTGGCACTATCTATGTGGTGCTGGTTTTAGGTGCATACGGAATGCAAGGGTTAGAGCTGTGGATTTAGCTCAGTGGCATAAGCACCTGCCTGCAAAGTACAAGGCTGTAAATTCGATCCCCAGGACCCCCCCCCCAAGAAGAGTGCAAGGGTTCTGAGATTAAAAAGACTTCTACCAGAGAGGGAGATTTAGCTCAGCGGCATAAGCGCCTGCCTTGTAAGCAGGTAGTCATGAGTTCGATCCTCAGTACCGACAAAAAGGAAAAAGATCCAAAAAAAAAAAAAAAAACTTCTACCCAGATTTCAGAAGCCCTGGGAGTCCATGCAGTGTGCCTTTGAGAGGGCAGTGTGTTGAGAGGACAATGTGTGAAGCCAAAGGTGCAGTGGAGACCCCAGAAATTTAGAAAAGCCAGGAGCATGGACCATCTAAGGAAAGCTGCAAGGAGGGAGCAAAGCCAGCCCTCGAGAAGCTGTGGGACCAGTAACCACCAGAAGTGCTGTGGGGTAGAGTCACACAAGCCCTTTGGAGCTCACCGTTCACAGATGGCTTCAAACGCTGGACTTGCAACTACAGGACTTAATGTTTGCCTTGCTAGGTTTTGTGCTTGCTTTGGTTCCAGTGCTTTGTATCCCCATTTGTGTTTTTTGGAATGGGAAAGCCTATCTGGTGCCACTGAATGTTGGCAGTGTTTAACTTTGTTTTCATTTGTACAGGAGCTGCAGCTAAGCATCTGCCTTGGGACTCAACAGCAGTGCTGAAACAGGACTTTGGCAACTCTTGCAGCTGGACTAAATGCCTTTTGCATAAAGGGATGTGCATGAGTCTTGGGGGCCCAAGGACAAAATGTTATGTTTCTAATGTAACACAATGTTCAGACTTTAAGGATAGTTAAGTTGCAAAATGTTAAGAATAAGCAGGCCTTTGTATCTGGAGGCTGGTTTAAAGAAATGTCTGGTTGCCAAGTTGACAAGGGGTCTATGATTGATACATTGTATCAACTTGAGAAGTTTAAAAGTTTAATCCATAGGCTCAGCAGGGAGCCAGGGCTCTTACTTTGTAAATATCACCTTGTACAAAGGAGGCAAGATTTTGTGAGTGCTACACCCTTGCTGGGGCAGCAGAGGAGTGCTGGGGCAGCAGAGGAGTGCCGGGACCTGCCTATAGTACAAGTTAGAAGAGACCTGTTCCTTTTGCTCTGGATGCTGCCTTTAAGTGCTGCACCGTGCAGTGCCACCCTGCTTTGGAGCCAGCTGAGTAAGGACTGAAACCTCCACAAACTAATAAATAAATCTTCTCTTCCTTCATTTTGAGTGGCAGGTGTTTTGTCCCAGCAACAAGAAAAAAGTAAACAAGACACATGGCACACAGCCCCCTCCTGCCCAGCAGGCTGTCAGGGCCCCGGAGCAGGATGAGCAGGGCGACCTGGAGCCCGCCCTTCTCAGACCTCAGCTCACACTTCCAGCGGTGGAGACGGAAACCCTGCAAGTCTCCCCCTGTGCTCACCTCCCAGCATGTGCATGGCAGCACACATGCTTGTGAACATGCCAAGCTGGTGTGTGCCCAAGTGTCACTGGAATGTGTACATGCACACATACTTTTTTTAAATGAAGAGCTGGAAAACCTGAGTATCAGCTCTTCGATCAGATTTTGGGGAGGGGGAGCAGTACCAAAATTAAACTCAGAATCTCACACTTAGCAGGCAGGCAGGCAGGCCCTGCACCACAAGCTAAATTCCCCAGCCCAACGTTTTCCTTCTTCAGGTACTGGGGCTTGAACCCAGGGCCTACAATGAGCTACATCCTCAGCCCTTTTTATTGAGACTGGGTCTTGCTAAATTGTGCAGGATGGGCTCCTGCCTCAGCTTCCCAAGCACTGGGATTACAGTGCTGTACCACTTTGCCAGGCCTGATTAAAGAACCCTAGTGACACTTCTTTTGGGATCGGGGATTGAACTCATGACCTCGCACTTGCTAAGGAGGCGCTGTGCTACTGAGCTCTACCCCACCCTCCAGTTAAGCTTCTGGAGAAACAGCCCCTGCAGACACCATGCATCCCGTTCACAAGGATAAACATCTGGAAATGACCCAGTGTCCAGGTTCGAGGGGAACAAGGTGTGTGCAGCTTCCGAAGCAGACATGGGGACACAGAGCTCCACTTCTGTCAAAAGCCTGTGTACGTTTTCCATGACGCTGGGGAGAAGCCAGGTCTCCCACCAGCCAGGCAGTGGAGTGGCCTGAACTGTTCCTGGGGGCAGTGGCTGTAGGGACCTGGAGCTCACCATCTGTGCCAAATGTATGGCATTTATGGAGTATTTTAAAGCCCAGGGGCTCCAGGCTAGCCTTGAGCTTGCAGTGATCCTCCTGCTTCAGCCTTTCCCCAGTGCTGAGATCCCAGGTGTGCATCCCTGCACCCAGCTTCACAAATAAAAGAACCCAGGGGCTCTCACGCCCTGCCCAAATGAGCACTCTGGGCACCCCACACAGCCTGAGATAACGCCCAGTAACAGGCAGTAACAGTGTTTGGAGTTGGGGGATGCTGACCACATCAGCCCTCCTGAAGGTGAACAGGACTGAGGGCCATAGTCAAGGCCACCATCTGGGAAGAGCAGACGGAACCTACAGGACAGCAGCACATTTGTGCCAATACCACCTCCCTGTAGGGCCTGGACATGGCACCAGTGCACTGGGCCTTCAGGGACTTAAATGGTCCCACACCCTTCTCCATGCACCTCAGCTACAATGAGAATGGCTCAAAGAGCTCAGTATTAAAAACATCACATCTGCTGGAAGACACAGTAGCTAAACTAAAGACAATGGTGCAGGCAGACTATGAACAAAACCCCAACTTCCCGGAACTAACACAAAGAACCAGCTGCTGGGATCCCACCCTACTGAAAAGCTTTTGCACAGTAAGAGAAACCACCAACACAGTAAAGAGGTAACCCACAATGTGGAGAAAATGTTTGCCAGCACTACTCAGACAAAGGATTACTATCAAGAACATATAAAGAGCTCAAAAAACTCAGTCCTCTCAGATTTAAAGACCTAGTCCAAAAACGAGCATCTGAGATGAACACACACAATGAAAAATACAAATGGCAAATAAACCCATGAAAAAATGCTCAGCATCACTGGTCATTCAAGAGATGTAAACTAAAACACTAAGATTCCACCTCACCCAAGAATGGCTGTTCTGAAGAAATCAAGCGAGCTCCCCTCCCTGTAAGCGGCTGTGGTGTGGCAGGCTGCAGCCCGTCCAGGGGGAGAACCACCAGCGTCTCCTGAGATCTGCACCACGTTGGAACTTAGCAGGGAAACCAAGAAAGCAGTTCCCCTCCCTGGTTAGCAACAGTGAGCCTACCACCCCATGGATTGAGAGTCAAACATCCCACTTCCCCTGCCCCCTTTAGCAAATGGGAACCAGATATCTGAGCATCTCTTGGGAGGCTGACCATAGCAAATAAAGGGGATTTCCTTTGACCATCTCTTTGAAGGCAAAATATTTTTCGCTACTCTTTGCTTTATTCTGATTAATGGTACTGCTCTACTTAATATTCCATTTTGATAAGTTCTATAATCTGTATTTCATTTTATTTTGCTATCCGTGAAAGAACTATTGTGAAGATAACGAGATATAGTGATACTTATTACTGTTATCCCAGTAACCTGTGAAGTTCTGTACCAATTTCACTACACTGTCTCAATTGGCTTTGTTCTGTCTTGGTCTGTATTTTACTACCTTCAAAATTAAAAAAAAAAAAAAAAAATCAAGCATTAACAAATGCTGGAGGAGCTGTGGGGAAAAAGGAACCACTGTAGAAATCAGTATAAAGAACTCTCAGAAAACCAGGACTAGTGGTCCCATTCTATCTAGCTATTCCCCTTCAGGGTGTCTTCCCCAAAGAATTAAAAACTCCATACCACAGTGATAAATGTGCACCCATGTTTATAGCAGCACAATTTGTAATAGCCAGATCTTGGAAACAACCTAAGTGTCCATCAACTGAGGAACAGATAAAGATGTGGTATTTTTAGAGCATGAAGCACTCCTCAGCCATAAAGGATGAACTGGACTTTTATAGGTAAATGGATGCAACCTAAGCCCGTGCTCTTAGAGAAACAAGACACAACTCATCAGTGTGAGCCAAAATAACACAGGTACATGTGTACGCACATGTATCTAAAAATCAGTGAAGACAGTGATACTGCTGGTTTCTCTGAGCTCACTGAAGAGAAAGATTTGTGCTGGTGTTGTTTGGACAACTGAACGCAGATGTCTTGTGTCCTGGGTGAGTGATTTGGGGATGACAATGCGTAATATATGTACCACTGTTGCCCCAACTGACGTATTTTACAATTTTTACTTTTTCTTTTTTTCTCATAAGTGAATTTCAAGGGGAAAAGTGAGATGTGGCTCACACCTGGATTCCCAGCACCAAGCTCAAGGCCAGCTTCAGCCACAGACTATAAAAGCAAAGCAAAACAAAACATAAGTACAAGTAAGTTTGTACTGTTAAAAACACGTAAACTCTTACGGGACAAAATTACAAGACAATCTTTATTTTGAAAAAGAGATGTGTTTTTACATAAATCTACAACAGAGAGTTCAACTGTAGAAAAAATAAACTATATCCAGGACACGACGGTCCACACAGCAAGCCCCACCTCCCCCAGGGCCCACCTGGATGCCAGCAAGGGCGCTCAGAACGCTGCTGCAGCAGCAGGCGGTGGGGGTGGGGGGTGGGGGTGGAGGTGGGTCACACAGGTGGCACTCGTAGGCCTAGGACCCCACCCTGGGCATCAAGGCCAGATCTGCCTCCTGCTGCCACTACCAATAACAACCCACCTCACCTCCCCGGGGGAAGTGTGCCAGCATCCTCCTAGGAGCCTCCCGGGAAGCCTGCAACGCCCCACTCACTAACACCAGCAACTGGGGCACTCGGGGTAGCTGGGACAGGGACCCGCTGTGGACACCCCCCACGAGCCCCGCTCCTGCTCTTGGCCTTTCTGTCCACCTGAGGTCCCACAGGCAGGGCTCCAGGTCCAAACCTGGCTCCCCAACGTCACAAGCGAGCACCCAGCAGGGCCATGCCCTCTGCAGCAGTGCTCACCGAGGTCTCTACAAGCAGATGGCTGGAACCCCATGCCAACCTCCTTCTGGTTGGGCTCCCAAGAGCACAGCCAGGCAACGGCTGTAAGGCTGGCCGCCACCGTTCCTCAGACCCAATCCCTGAGGAGCCAGCTAGGGGCGGGCTGAGCAGGAGGCCCAGGTGGCAGCGGGTGTCCCCAAGGACACCAGGACAGCAGGAGGCCAAGCCTTGTGGGCACCATTCCCTCCCATACTAGTCCCTGAGCCTGGCCTAGGATGCAGGTGACAGTGCCACCCACAGGCCCAGCAGCCCACCCAAGATGCTCAGCCCTGAGAGCCTGGCCTTCCATGGAAAATAGGACCCGGCTGGCTGCGCCTTCAGGGTGCCCTGGCCCACCCACCTGCCAGGCGGGCGACAAGCCAGGCGGAGACCAGCTCCCGTCAGAATGCAGGGCCAGGAGTTAGTACAAAATCCCACCTTTTATTACAGTTTGTGCAGCTGTGTGAACACCAGTGACCAGGGGGACATGGCCTGTGGTCACCACGCGTCAGCATGCGGCCCAACTCCTGCTACAAAGGACTGGACACGGAAGTGACCTCACTACGCGGTGTGTTCCAAAAGACGAGAGTGCATGCCAGGCGCCGCAGCTCGGGGAAGAAGACCCACCAGGCCTGGTGCAATCCGCACTGGGTAGGAAAATACAAAAATGTACAGAACGGGTACTGGGAAAGACAACCCATGATAAATCGAACTTCTCTCTCTTGTAATAAAAAATTAAAAACTTTTGCCTCTGAGCAAATGAACTGGGAACGCCTCCCTGGGCGGCACACAGCTGGCAGGGAGCGTCCGGGCAGTGCCGCGTCCTGGGCGCTGCCCCGACCTCGGGGCCGGCCTGCACCTTGCCCTGCCTCTTGCCACCGGTGGGCTGGACAGTCCCGGCTGAGGTCAGCAGTCACTCTTCCACAGCTTGATGGTCTTGTCGTTCTCTAGGGCGGCTGAGGCAATGATGTTCTCCGTGGGGTGGCAGGCCGTAGAGATCACCACATCTGCAAGTGGAGTGGTCAGGGCCTCCTCGGCCACAGCCTGGCCCTGGCCACACCCCACACAGGCCCATGGCAGGTCCTCAAGGAGCCAAGGACAGTGGCAGGGCCCCCGTGCCTGTCTGCCAGCCCTCCATGCCCTGTCCACGCTGTTGGGGCTGCCAGGTGCAGACACACACCGTGAACTTCAGGCCTCTGCTAAGGCCCAAGTGGCTCATGCCAGCCTGGAGCTGGCCACCCCGCGAGGCAGCTGACCCTGTGCCACAGGGTGGGCAACCCATGAGGGAGCACAGCACACCTGGCCACCCAGGACCCCAGCACCATCCCAGCACATAGGCAGGCAGGGCATCAGCAGCACAGGTGAGGGGCCCAAGAGAGGAAGGAGGATGGGACAGGGGCACCTGGCAACCCCCAGCCTGGCCTTAGGAGGCATCCCCAGGTCACGATGCACAGCCCACCTGTGTGGCCCTGCAGCTTCTGGACAATCTCCTTGGTCTGCAGGTTCCAGATGTACACCAGGTTGTCCTCAGAGCCAGACACGATCCACTGTCACCACGACAGGGGAAATGCAGGTCAGTGGACCCGACCCGCTCTCACCAGCTCCAGGGGTGGCTGTGCTTGGGGAACCCTGGGGGCCTCCAGGTGGTAGCTGTCCCAGGGGCACACCCTGATCTCCTGGGTCACTCGCATTTCACCCTGTGTCACTACCTACTCTATCCCCGTCCAGGTCCACTTGCCGGACGGTGGCACAGTTGGGGAAAGGGCCTATGGACAGTGGCCTCAGAGGGGACAGGAGCCCCAGCCGCCCCCACCTCAGCCAACCCACAGGAGGATGCGGGGCCCACCAGCAGACAGCCAACACCCCCAGGCCCTGCGCTTCTCCGCCTGCCCCCCAGTGCACAGGACCTCAGCACTCTGCAGCAGAGCCGCCCTTACCTTCCCGCCAGTCACCGAGAAATTGGCAAATATGCAATACTTCTCGTTCTTATGGCCCGTGTAGGTCTTCAGGCACTGGAAAGCAAGTGACAGACAGGCTGTCACCTGGGAGCTCTGCATCCTGAGCATTATCTTCCAGCCAGGACCCACGCTCCACTCGCCTACAACCAGCTCAGCAAGGCTCCTGACCCCTCCCAAGGCCACCCCACACCCAATGATGGGTCCTCCAAACCGGCACCCGAAGGCCAGGCCAGGCCAGGCCGGTGCGCTGGGCTCACCTTGCCCTTGCTGTAGTCCCACAGCTTCAGTGTACTGCAAGATAAGATGGGTTGAGGCCGCCCGCCTCGAGACCCTCAGACCCCGAGTGCGGGAGTAGGCAGCAGGAACAGGCCGCAGGCCCTCCAACCTGCGGTTCAAGGCCAAGCTCGGCGGGGACCCCGCTCAGACCCCAGGAAAACAGCCCCTGACCCCAGAGGGGCTGGCGGGAGGGTGCCGATCATGCATGCAGCAGGAACGGCCCCCAGGGCAGAGATGAATGCCCCAGGGCGGGGAGGCGGGGTTCCCTGGCCCGTACCTAAAGCACAAGAAAAGCTCCAGGTGCCCAAGTCAGGGCTGGCCGCACCCCGAGTGCCCAGGGCAGGCCTGGAGAGGCCCCCGGCTCTGTGCTTACTTGTCCAGCGTGGCCGCCAGGATGTATTTGCCATTGGGAGAGAACTTGACGAAGGACACGGGCGGGTTGTCATCATCTGTGTGGGAAATCCCAGGCTGTGAGCCACTGGGGGCAAGCCAGCTCCCACCACCGAGTCACCGTGCAGGACCACTTCGTGACGTTGCTGCCACCGGTAACACCGCCACCACCACCCCCAAGCCCAGGCCGGTGTGCGTGCCCTTGGTGCCATCGAGCCCCCTTAGATGCCAGGGCCTCCAGTGAGGAGCCTCCCGGGGACAGTGACTGCCACCCACGCAGGATATCTGCGAATCCTCCAGTGGCTGAGGACCCATCCTGCACAGGGCAGTGGCCTCCGGTGACAGACACCTCTTCTGGCGCCCTGGCTCTAAGTGCATCCACGGCCCTAGGCCTGGACAGCCACCTGGCCCCAGCCAAGGAGGCACTGCTGTACCCTTCCACGCGGGGGCCTCGCACACCGCCGGGCCCCGCGTGCCCCTATACACGCATTACCACGGCCTCGCCGGCTTGGGCTGGTCACACACACTGGAAAGGCACATAAGATGATTATTACGAGGGCTGCTGCAGTCCACCTCTGCCCCACCCTGCACCCTGCACTGGGCGCACTCGAACCCCACCTGACACCCACACTGGCTGGCAGCAGATCTAGGTGCCAAGCAACCCAATGTCAAAAATCCTGCAGAAATCAAAGCATGGTTCCTGGCATGGCGGTGGGGCACACGTCTATAACCCCAGCATGTGGAGGCTGAGGCAGGAGGATGGCTGTGAGCTTGAGGCTACATGACGAAGTCAAGCCCAGCTTGAACTCTACAGCAAGGCCCTGTCCAACCCACTCTACAGATGCTGCAGAAATGAGACCAACTCCGGAGCTCAGAAAAGGAAAACGCAAATTCTTCAGAGGCGCTGCTTGGCCATGGTGAATAGACAGCCAGGGAGGTCACCTGGCCACAACCACCACCCCGCCCTCAGGGAGGCCTCCCCACTCCCCCAAATTGTGGTTCCATACAGCCCCCGCTTCGGGCACACACACTGCAGAGATGATTGGGGGGACTGTGCTGGGAGCTGTGCAAAGACCCATCAACCACATGCAGGACCAGAAGCCACGCAGGGCTGGAGGCCCTGAGCAGGCTCGCTGACCACTCAAATGTGCCTACAGGCCAGCTGGGCCACACGTGTCACTAACATAGGCGATGGCCCCTCACTCACAACACCCATGGAGGACACAGCCCCAGGGAACAACACTGGCAAGAGGGCCCTAAGGTTAGCCACTGCCCCAGGGTGGCTGCCCACTGTGGCCTGGAAAGGAGACACCAGGACACACAGCTCACGCCATACAGGGGCTCACTGCTGGGCTATGGAGAGAAGCCCTCCCAGCCCTGCAACACCTCACCTGGTGGCTTCCTTCCCTGCCACCTGGCAGGTACCCACGGCTGCCACCACTATCATGCAGGCACGATGTTCCCCAGAAGTGGGGAAGCAGCCTCCCACCTGTGCTTCAGAGCATCACCTTCCGAGCCACTGCCCCCACTTCGAGCTCCCAGGCCTAGGTGCCTGCTCCCAGCAGTACCCGTAGGCATCTGGAGAAGAGCACTTTGGACAGCACAGGCCGAGGACCCCATGGCCCCAAGAGCTCCAGGGAGGAGTGAGGTGCCTGGGGTCAGGAAGGACACATCCACAGAGGCAGGGGTCACCCAGAAAGGTGCAGGACAGGCGCACAGCGAATAGCGCGGGACATCGCAGCAGAGGCCAAGAAGTGGTCCACGGCACCCACAGGGCATGCTCACCAATGAGTGTCTTCAGGCACTGTCCTGACGCCGTGTCCCAGATGCGGCTGGAAAGGATCGTGGAAATGTGAGGAAGCAACTCACAAGTGGCCGAGGCCAGGACCCGCCCCACCCTCCATGGATGCTGCTTCCACACCATCCCAGCCCGGCTTGGGGCTGCCTGGCCAGCAGGAAGCCTGCAGCGGAGGCCGGATCAACAGTCCCCACTCCAAGGGGACAGGCCACGATGTGAGCCCCTTCCGGTCTCTCACTCCCATGTCTCTGCCGTACACGGCCCTGGCCTGCCACGTCCCTGTGGTGGCCCTGGCTCAACACATAGGAGACTTTCCCATGGCAGCCCTGCTCTCTCACCTTAGCCACAGTCCTCCCACCCCAGGCCACCCAGGGCTGCTCCAATAGCTGCTCCAACAGGCCTCTCCCACGTGACTGCCACACCTCCTCCTAGCTGCTGGAGCTCCCCAGGCTGAGCCAGGCCAGGCACCAACGTGGGCGGTGGGAGCTGCATCAGGGTGCTGCCACTGAACTCGGACAGGGACACTGACCACCACCTGAACCCATGGCCACCCGTCCTAAACCCTGCAGAGGTCCACATCCCTTCCACAGACACAAGGTTCCCACACTGGCCTTCTCCAACCTGCCTTATGGAAATGCCCTATTTTTCCAATTTATTCCATTCCATCTCGAGGCTCTGAAAGCATCCTAGAGCCGCTGCATCCCGCACATGCTCACTAACACTGGGGGCCCAGGGGACCAGCGGCCAGATCCAATGCCACATGCTCTCTGGGGAAAGCGCTCCAACCCCGAGCTGCAGTCCCGCACTCCTTGTTTTGAGATTGCATCTTACTACACTGCCTAGACACACCTGGCCATGACTCTCCTGCCTCAGCCTCCAAGGCAGCGAGGTTCATAAACATGAGCCACGACACCCAAGTGCTTTTTAAATCTGGGGGACAGCAGCCCATTCGGGATTTCTCCTGTCTCTCCAAAGCCATTCTATTCCCTATCCACATCCCCAATGAATTCTCCCGTTCTTAACCTCAGCAGTACCCCAGAATTCATTCTTCAACTCCTGAGCGCTGGCCCCATCCAACCGACTGTCCTCCCTATAGACTGTACCTCAACTCCTATCCCACCTCATCCTGGAGTCCTCTGGGCCCAAGTGTCCCCACAGTCCCTAAATCGCCGTGTCACAACCCCCACCAGATCTCCCCAGGACCCCGAAACTCAAGCACACAGGCCTTGCTTTCCCCTCCACACCCTGCCCAGGGCAGTGCGGGCCACCGCACACGCACACATGCGCACACACGTCCACACACACGTGCCCACGCACGCACACATACACACACCAGCCCTGTAGCCCCAGCCCAGTCCTAGACCACACATCGGAAAGCTTCTGTGGCCAGGGCTGGCCCTACAGAAAAGATGTGCACTCACCAGAGGCCATCATAGCTACTGGAAACTATCAAGGATCCATCACGATTAAAATGAACCTAGGAATGAGAGTGGAGAGCGAAGAGAAACTTACTTCCCGGGGCTCAGCGTGCCCTGAACACCAAGTAGCACGCGTGTCCACTATATGCCCTGCTTTTCAAACCTGCTCCCTTCCTGGTGGCTGCCAGACCCCAGGAGTGAGACAGGTCAGATGGTAGCCTGTTTCCTGAGACGTATGGCCTATGACCGGAGTCCCAGTGTGGAAGACCATGACTGCTAGTGAGCCAGTGGCTTCCAGCTCTGCCATCGGCCCGCAGTGAGGTCAGCTCAGTGGGCCCAGGGGTAAACCCAGAGCTGCACCCCTCAGTCACTATTCCAAGACAGGCATTCTCGAACTGTCCCATGAGGGTGAGTGTCACCAAGTCACCTGTGCTCCAGCCGATCTGGGGACACTGATCCCCTTGGGTCTTGGAGAAGGGGACCTAATCCACCTAGCCCTGGTACAGCTCAGCCAGGGAAGGTGAGGGAAGAGGGAACAAGCTCTCTCCTAACTGAGCTTCCCCAAATCTTCCTGCCTTATTCTTTCTCCCAAAAGCGAATCTCCTGCAGAAAGCAATGAAACGCCAGGAACTAAAGTTGCACATGCACCTCTGTGTGACCCAGGACAGGGCTTTTCACAATGTCCCCTGGCTTCACACTATAGGGAAACCTTAGGGAGAGGGTGAAGCCTCGAGGGAGCCCCAGGGACTCTTCACCAAGGGGCCACGCTGCCTGTTCCCATCCCAGGTGTACTGTGAGGCAGTGACCTTGGGTTCTACCCCAGAGGTGCCAGCGGACAGGATGAGCACAGGGACAGGGATCAGACGGCACAGAACTCCCACAGCTTCTGGAGCAGCCAGATCCACACACAGCTCGCCTCGGCCCCTGGGCTGCAACAGTTCCTGTTCCTGGACTGTGTTCGGGGTCTAAGAAGGTGCTTCCCAACAAACAACAGGGCCACAGCACATCCGTTGTCTCCATGGTCCTGCTGAGCCCCAGCACACCTCAGCTAGCATCTCAACACAAGACACTTATCAAGACGGCTGCTTTTTTAGGGGAGGGGCAAGGGGCTGGAGACCAAACCCAAAAACACTGAGCTGCATTCCCAGCCTCACCCTTTTTTTTTTTTTTTCCCTTTTTATCGGTACCGGGGATCGAACTCACGACAGCCTGCTTGCAAGGCAGGCGCTTACGCCACTGAGCTAAATCCCCAGCCCCCCAGCCTCACCTTTTAAAACAAGGTCTCAGTCGCTAAGCTGCCCAGGCTGAGCTCAAACTTGCCATCCTCCTGCCTCACCCAGCTTTCTCCTTGCCTCAGGCTGTACCAGAGACCTTCTACTCAACCCTGCCTGTGATAGATGCCCGAGAGGCTGGTAGCCAATGTGGATGGCCACAAATGCAAAGATGGAGAGGCAAGTGCTCGGGTCTCCTCCTCTGCCAGGAAGCAGCTCTTCAGGATGCCTGTTGGCCACCCTTCATCTCAGGAGATGCACAGCTGTCCCCAGCCATGGTGCTACCTGCTGCATAGGTCCCACTGTCCGCTCAGTGTACTCTGACCCTCCTGACAGCCAGCTCCACCCTGTGACCACATGGCCCTGGAGGGCATGGTGGCATAAAGTCAGACTGGGCTAATGCTCTCCCATGTGAATGATACCTCCACCCGAGGACCCTTGCCACTAGGGGTGGCTTCAGGCCAGTGAGGCCACATACAGGCTGTGTTACCCATCCGACCACCATATGGTCTTGGGCTTTCTTCAGCTGGAGAAGCTTAAACTCCTGTGCCACCAGGCCCAGGAAAGGCAGAGGTACCCCATGACCCTCCTCTCCAGGAATCATAGCCGGGGTCACAGAACCATGCCCCTTGGATGTGGGGCACTAGGGATTGAACCCAGGGCCTTGTGATGCCAGCACTGCTCTGCCACTAGGTTCCACCTGGCCCCAGGCCACCTGAATTGACAGAACATGTGAGGTTGCTGTGGACCCTGGGGTGCTGACAAGAAGTGGGCTGGGGAGCATCTGTTCTCTAAGGCCTGTGCCCCACCTGGCTCAACCCTGTCCCGGCTCCTCACAGCCACCTCCACTGAAACCCCCTCACTGGGATCACAATGTGCCTCACAGCAGAGCCACTTGGCCTCCCCATGGCTGCCCCAGGCTCTGGTCACCCGGACACACAGGCTGGGGACTCACAGCAGAGACGGGGTCGGAGTGTGCGGGCAGGGTCTTGAGGCACTTCCCCGTCTTGACGTCCCAGATCCTCACGCTCTCATCAAACTGGAGACAGCAGAGGAGATTAGGATGGCACCCAAGGAACATCGAGGATGGCGCCCCTGAGCCCTGGCCTGCTGCGCCGGAAACACAAGCCACCAGCTCTGGCACCCAATGGAGAGGGCAGCGCACTTACAGACCCTGAGACGATGAGGTTGGACTGCGGGTTGAAGTTGCAGCAGAAGACATAGTTGCTGTGCCCCTTCAGTGTTTTCAGACACTTGCCCTGCAACAGCAGTGTTAGATCACATGAGGCTGGGGTCACCGCACACTTGGTGGCCTCCTAGTGACTGGCCACCGCCAGTGACCCTTCCGGGGAGAGACCATGCCACTTACAGAGCTCACATCCCATATCTTCAGGGTTTTGTCATCCGAAGCAGAAACAAGGAGGTTGGAGTCCGATGACCAGGCCACATCCGATATTCCCTTGGAAAGGAAAATGTGCCACTAGGATCTCTAGACAAAGGCCCAAAGCCAGACCGTGCAGCAAAGCCCTCAGGAAGCCCTCTGGCTAGTGACTGCCATCTGGAAGGCATGCACAGGCCCAGAGCAAACCACCACTTTTGGTGGCTCTGCCAGGCAGATGCTCACCTGTGGTGGCCCACAGAAGGGTATGCACGAAAAACACAAAGGCAAACCACCACCCTGACCACACAAGCAGCCCACCAAGCTCACGGTAGCACAGGGGACACCTACCAGTTTGTGCCCCGATATAGTCTTCTCAAACTTCCCATCATACGCACCCCAGATTTTAATGAGTTTATCAGCAGCTGAAAGAGATGAAGAGGAACCAAGGCTCAGCACACAACCTGGGCTGCCTCCACTCCCAAGCCCTGGTCACTAGGTGGCTTGGGAAGCCTTTGATGACATGGCCATAGGGGGAGGGGCTGGCCCTCCCCTTCGAAGTGGCAAGAGGCACAATTTCAACAACAGTGGCTCCTCAGTTCCACAGAGGGATGCATGGTACAAGCTGTGTCAGGGAGTAACCCCCCTCCCCCAGTCCTCCCAACCCCGCCACCGAGCCCGCTACACACATGAGCTAGCCAGCCACTCCCCATTCGGGCTGAACTTCACGGAGGACACTGCTTTTGTGTGGCCGGCCAGAGTGAACTTCAGAGCGTAGTTGGGTTTAACAGGTGTTGGCTGTTAGAGAGAGGAGTCAGCTGAACCCAGCCCAAAGCAAGCAACCCTCTGCGTCCACTCCCCCATCCCCAAAGTTCAATTCCTGCCCTAGATGCCACTGTCTGATGTGACAGCCAATTACCAAGCCCAAGCCTCCTGTCTCCCCCAACCCAGCAAGGCAGCACCAACTCTGAATGAGACACCCCAGGCCCAACAAGCCCCCATGTAGCACCTGCTGCCACCACCACACTGCGAGGAGGGGGTGCAGAACTGCTGAGGGGCCATGCTTCCTGTGGCCTAGGGAGGGACAGGTAGACCTGCCAAGGACCAAACCATGGGGCCAGGTTGTGGTGCATTAGTCTGAGATGTTTTCTGGGTCCTCCAGGCTTTTACATTCAGGACTAAGAATCTGGATTTTGCTTTTTTGTAGCACAGGGGATCAAAGACAGAGGTGCTCCACCACTGAGCTCCACTCCCAGGCCCTTTACTTTTTTTTTTGTTTTGAAACAGAACACAGTATTGTTAAGTTGCTCAGGCTGACCTTGAACTTGTAATTCTCTCAGATAGCTAGGATTACAGGCATAAACCACCACACTCAACTAGGAATCTGCTTCTGACAAGGGTCCTTCACTCTGGGGTAAGGATTTGGGAACCCAAAAGGTGGCCTGTAACAGGCACACATTACATTACGACTGGCAGCCTGCTGACCGAGTCTGGGTCACATCCCCAAGAACCTTTAAAGCCTACTTGCCCCCGAGGGTCCCCAGAGACCTAGGCAAGGGCGCGAACCTTGCTCTGTGTGGCCGAGGAAGAGGGGGTGGGCTGTGCCCTTGCGGCCTCTGTCTCCGGCTTTTTCTCTTCCGTGGCCATGACACTGAAGCCCACAGGACGGAAGCCACGGATCAGGTTCACAGTGGAGGGGCTGCCTGCTGGTCAAACCCTGTCGTGGAGACCTGGAAATAAACCATGGTTTAAGAAACTGGTTTCCAGGCTCAGGGGAAGAGTGTTAGCCCCACACCATGAAACCCTGGGTTCCATCCCCTGCACCAAAAAAAGAGGAAAAAAAAAAAGCGCCAATTTCCAAAAAAAAAAGGGAGAAAGAAGGAAAACACATGACCAGCACACTGAGCCCTGCGGCAAGTCAGGGAACCTAATATCCCCCCAACTCCAGGCTAAGAGATCTCTTCTTGCACCCTTCAGTGTGGAAAGAGCTCACCCTCAAGAGGGCTTCCTGTCTACCTGATGTCTGCAGGAATGGAGTGCACAGGATAGGCAAACAGGATGCAAACTGACACTGAAAACCCCAAAGGCTTCCCGAAAGAAAGCAACAACCAGACGACAGGGAGAATGAGCTTCGGGGTACAGATGCTTGAGACCTGGTCCAAACCCTAAAATGTACCTAAGGGATGGGACCTCATAATAACCCGTCACAGGTGGCATTTGCTGGTACCCCACAAGCCAAGATGTGTGGCTGTCTCCCCAGGCTCCCAAGGCCCTCAGAGGTCTCCAGCACACCCTCATAAGCCTGTCTCAGAAGCAAACCACGCAATCTTGGCCTCCAGAATCCCCCTACCCTTCCTCTGCAGCCACAGCCTAAAACACAGGCAGCCCTAAACTTGTAAACAAGACTCACACTGCAGAAGAGGGGAGGCATGGCAGCGCATACCTGTACTCCTAGCACTTGGGAGGCTGAGGCATGAGTATCTTGAGTTCAAGACCAGTGTGAATTATACAGTGAGACCCTGTCTCACAAAACTAAAAAGAAAAGAAAAAGAGGGAGGACTACAGTTCGATCCAGTCTTGCTTAATGAAGTACAGCTCAAAACATGCACAGCCAGCAACTGCTTCATCTATCCCAGCATCGGACCCCATTACCTAATGCCTAAAAAACCCCACAGGTGTCTCCGTTGGCTAGAAAGCAAGCAGAGCCACTGACATGTGTCTGCTTATGCCACTAGTCCCAGAAACCCCAAAGCCAGCTCTGCCCCTAACCTAATAGGTTTGTGTGCAGTACATTCCCACTTGCAGCTTAGAGCTGAAATCTTGCAAAGCTTCCCAGAGCAAATGCAGGCCACTGGGAAAGCTCTCAAAGCCTTCAGCCTGGAGGGGAGAGAGCATAACACCCACTGCCTGGGTTCACAGCGATTCCAGCCCAAGGATGGATGTGCTCGCTGCACCTGGCACCCAGGGACAGCCTTGGGGGTGGGCAGATCCCAGAGTTCTCCGGGGACAAAGCTCTAGTCCACACAACCTGCCTGTGGCAATGAAACCTCAAGGGCATCTTTTCTTTTGGGAGCTGGACAGGCAGCAGGTGATAGCTGAGGAAACCCACAGGTGCCATGGCCTACTCAGCAAAACACCTGGACAATAAGTGCTTTGGGGCCTAGTGTTTAAGAGGTGACCCAGCAGGCTTAAGTGGCTGTCTGGCCTAGAACAGGGCTCACCTGGAGCGGGGTGGTGGCTCTTCCAAGACAAGGGCTGCCCTCAAGTAGACACCACGTGGGTGATCTTAAGCCCCCCAACTTTTAATACATTAGCATGTGAAAAAAATCTGGTTCCTACAGTCCGTGTTGGTGTCTGGGACTAAGCGTCTCTCCGGAAGGCGCCAGTGTTTGGGCTGCAACAGCTGGCGGGGAACCGGGAAGCACCTCGGTGCCTGGGGCCTTAGGAAGAAGCGGAGAGAAGGTGGCGTGCAGCTGACTCCACAGCCCGCCGGGCGAGTCGCCTCTCATCCCACTGCGCCTGACCATGCAAGCCTGGCAGCTACCCCTCGCCATGCACCCCTGGGCTTCCTGGGCTCCGCCAGAGCCTGCGGACACAGCGTTTCAAGCAAGCACCCGGACACCCCTGCCCGACGGGCGCTTTGCCTCGGTCCGCTGTCTGCTTGCCGAGCTGCCTGTCCAGGGGCCGACAAGGCACCGCCTGGCCAAGGCTTGGAGCTGGGTCGGCGTGCGCCCCGGGAGGGCAACCTGGGACCCTAGGCGAGGGGGGCCGAGCAAGACCGGCACCCAGAGGGCCTGGGATCCCGGGGAAAGTAGGCCCGCGCCGACCGGCTCTTGTCACCCGCGGCGGCAGGCGGTGGTGAGGGCGGGCGCGGGCGGCCACGAGGGGCGTCGGAAAACAGCCGCGGCCGGCAGTGCGGGCCCGAGGCCACGGACACGTGCGGTAGCCACAGTCCCCGGTCTGCTCGCGCCGCCGACGCCGCCCGCTCGGCCTCAGCTTTCCGCTTACCTGCCGGGCGCTCGGGAGTCGCGTCCGCCGCCGCCTGGGCGCGAGAGCTGACGAGAGGGACGCGGCAGAGGAGGCGCGGGAGGCGGGCGGCGGCGCGCGTGCGCGAGGGGCGGGGCGGTGTCGGGGGCGGGGCGACGGGCTGCGGCGAGGGCCAGAAAACCACGGCCGGCCAAATGCCTTAAAGGGGTAACCCGTCGCGCGCGTTTTCTGCAGGAAAGAGTCCGCCCAAGTTTGGTGGGTGTGGGCTGTTGTCTTGCGCATGCAGGAACAGGCTGCTGTGTCGCTCTCTTGCTCATAGCTGGAGCATGCGGCGCTCCCCATTGTCCCTGGCATGCCGATACAGGAGAGGGGGGAGACACAGATGCAGACAGCCCAGAGGGACGTACTGTCCCCTCCGTGAGCCCGGCCCCCTGGGGTCCACTGCAGACTCTGAACCAGCAGAAGCAAAGCCCTCTGCTCGGGGTCCAGGAGTTGCTGCCCAGGTACAGGGCCCGGCAAAGGCGGGAAAGGTGGGCACTGCTGGATGGGGAAAGCTGTGGGGCTGCCTGGAGGGCGGAAGCGAAAGACAGGCCTGTGTGAAAAGAAAGCAATGTAACGTGACACTCCGATAACCAGACACCGCCAGCCTCCGTCTGGCACAGTGTAATCGTCCCTCGGTTAGGTTGCTCCAGATGCCTGAGGTCAAAGGGTGAGTGTGACCAGAGTTCGCCTTCCTGCCACAATCTTGCAGGGATCCTGGTTCCAAATGACCTCTGGCTCCATCTTGGAACGTCATGCCAGATTCTCTTCAGCTCGTCGCCACTCTGTAATCGCAGCACTTGTGGAGGCTCAGGAGGAGCGAAATCTTGAGCACAGCCGGGGCAAATTAACCACTGTGAGACCCTGTCGCAAAAGAACTGCATTATGAAGTTCTGTGGATGGAGTTCAAGGAGGAGAGGCTCTGGTTCAATTCAGAACAGTGGGGAGGGGAATAACTTTACTTTCACAATATTAACAGCAGTCACTTGATTCTGGAGACTTCTCTTTCCTGGGGTCCACCCTGCCCTCCTCTTCTGGGAAAGGAACACTCTGAGAGGTGGGCACAGGGGCATGAGGAGGACTGGGAGCCAGGCCTTCTGCACCCTCTCTCTCCGCTGCCCCACTTCTGCTATGTGTGTCAAATCTTAAGACCTTGGAAGTCTCCCTAGCCTGTGCACTCCCACAGCTCCAACCCAGGGTTGTGGGGAGAACAACCCACAGTCTTATATTTCCAATGAAAAGTAGCAATGCCAGGACCCTGGGTACATAAAGGCAGGAGCATTTGATTTTGAGACACATCTCACTTTTCTTTTTTTTTTTTTGTACCAAGAATCAAACTCAGGACCTTGTGCTTGCCAGGCAGGCACTTATGCTACTGAGCTAAATCCCCAACAAGGAGGGCATTTGAAAGGGAGACACCCCTGGAGTTTGAGGTGTGCAGTTGCCTTGCTACAGGAGCAACAAGATGGGCAGTGGTGTCGAGCCACACACACACACACACACACACACACACACACTCACAGAGTTCTATATAGATCTCTGTGCCCGGAGGCTTGATACCTTGGGGCCAGGTGCCCTGGAGCTTGAGGCAGGAACCTCAGAAAAGAGAGGGAGCCAGCACCAGATAAAGGATACAGCATCTCTACTTCTGCACCTAGGTGCCTAGACCAGAAACAGAACCCACCAGGGCAAACCTCTACTGCCTCCCAGATGCTATTCAGACTCATTGGCTTCTCCATTCCTTCCCCAAGACCCACCTCCATCCTGACCTTTCCAAACCTGACCAGACAGAATGTCTAAAGATCCAGTTCTTTTTTTTTTTTTTTTTCTTCGTTTTTATCGGTACCAGGGATCGAACTCACAACTGCCTGCAAGGCAAGCGCTTATGCCGCTGAGCTAAGTCCCCAGCCCCTAAAGATCCAGTTCTAAAACCAGGTGTGGTGGTACATCCCTGTAATCCCAGCACTTAGAAGGCTGAGACAGGAGGAACCTTTTGAGTTAAAGACTGACCTGGGCTACAAAGTGAGCTCAAGTTCAGCCTGAACTGCATACCAAGACCCTGTTTCAAAAAGACAACATAAAATAAAATAAAGATCTGGGCAGAGATTTAGCTGAGTGGCATAAGCACCTGCCTGGCAAGCACCAGGCCATGAGTTCAATCCCTAGTGCCTAAATAAATAAATAAATAAATATTCCGGTCTGACTTGCCACTTCTGGTTGAGACTCAGAGTCCATTGAAGTTCGAATCTATATTTAGAGCCCGCCTTCCCCTCCAGCACAGTACCACCTCCCTCACTGGACACCCCAGGTTCCAGTCCTCAGCAGTCCTTCAGGCCCAGAAGGATCTAGGTCCTGACCCCAGGACCCTGAGGTTCCAGACTTGCTCTCCAACCTCCCAGAGCCTCCTAGGAAAAGTGCTCCAACTTCAGAGGCATCTTCACAATCCACCCTGAGCTGTGGCACAGCCCTGATGCCAAAGATTGCCCCTGGCTGGAGCCACCCAGATGGTGCTGGTTTCAGAAAACGTACAGGAAGAAACAGAAGAGAGTAGGAATGGTGGAAGACAGGAACACAGGGTGGAGATCTAGTGTTTCCAGATATTAACTGTGGTTTGGCCACCAGGAGCCAATTGGTAAATGAAACTGTTCCCATGAAAAAACAATGTTACAAATGTAATATCTGCAGAAAGTTTCTTTAGACCTCTTCTCAAGACTGTCACCTTGCCCCTGGTGAGTGTGGGTCCTTGCTTCAGTTATAATGGAAATCAAAACAGGCATTTGTGAATTTATCAAAAGAGAAGTTTTAATTGGAAAGTAAGAGAAAATGAAGAGGGGCACACAGCTCTGACAAAGATCAAGCTGGACCCCAAAAAGGAAAGGAAGAGAGAAAAAGGGCTTTGATTTAAGAAATGTTGGGGCACAGGTCAGACAAGGGTGTCTGGCTAGCCCCTGTTCCTGAAGAAAAGGGACTGGGTTCTGGAGGAGGCCCCAGTGTCTGGGGGTGCTGTGGCGACCTGGGGTCCAGTTGATCACTGCTTCAGGCCTGACTTCCTAGCACTGGAGAAACCCTAACTCAAGGAGCATTTCAGTTCCCAAGAATTGATGGTCACTGGTGTAGGAGAGTGGGCTCAGTCACCTGGGGCTCTGCTGGAGTCCAAGATGACCCTAGCTTTAGGCCAGTGGAGACGCCTGGATGTAGCTAACTGTCCCCATCGGTCTCTCATCCCAGTGCCTTCCCGACCCCAGTACTGGGGGTTGAACCTAGGGCCTTCACACTGAGCTACATCCTTGTGCTTTTTTATTTCTCTAATTTTTTTTGTGTGTGTGTGTCTTTTTATCGGTACTGGGGATCAAACTCACTACTGCCTGCTTCCAAGGCAGACTCTTATGTCGCTGAACTAAATCCCCAGCCCTATTTCTCTAATTTTAAAACAGGATCTCTGACAGGTGTGGTGGCACAAGCTTATAATTCCAGAAGGCTGAGGCAGAAAGATCGCCATAAGTTTAAGGCCAGTTTGGGCTACATAATGTGTTCAAGACCAGCATGAACCTGTCACAAAAACAAATAAGCAACAACAACAAGAACAGGATCTCACTAAAGCATCAAATTGACCAAACCAGGCTTGAACTTGCAAGCCTGCCTCAGCCTCAGCCTCCCAGATTGCTGGGATTTCAGGTTTGTGCCATCACAAGTGGCCCTTATTATCACCCTTTGCAATGAGGAACCAAGGGCTTGGAGAGGTTGAGACACAGCCTGGGGCCCCAATGAATGTCACAACCTTCAGGGTCAGGACTGGTTCCAAGCAGAACCTGCCATGGCACCCACAGTGACACTGGGGGACACTTATCAGGCAGGTAGCTGCTCGCTGGGGCCGAAGTATCTGGGTCTTCAGAAGACAGCATCTTGGTGTGTGCAGGTGCGGGGCAGGGCTGAAGTTCTGAGTGGCACCCCCTTGCAGGACTTAAAGCTCCTGGAAAGTGCATTTACATCTAGCAGTGATATTTCCTCAGCCATAGCAGAGGCTTGCTCGACGTGCAGAGGCTGTGCCAGGTGGAGGAGGGGAATCCAGGCTGGGAAAGCTGTGGTGCCCGCCACCGGCACCAGCTCCATGGGGAGCCAGCATTCCAGAAGGCACAGCACCGTGAGGTCCCTCAGCCCCTGAGGAAGGAGCATAGGGTGTCATCGGGGGACCTGGAGTGCCCAAGGGCTCCAGCAGCTTTCACCAGCTTTCCAGATTGGACACCCTGTGGCCACTCAGCCACCCTGCCAGGAGCTGGGGACACCACCATAAGACCTTGGCTCCCTCCTGGCCAGGCAGGTAGAGCCTTGTGTGACTCCTGTCGCCAAGGCAGCTAGTTTGGAAGTCTCACAGTTCTGTCACCCAGACTGTGGGCCACTCTCTCCTGTTCCTAGCACCTCCCTGTACAATCAGGACAGGCTGCATGTCACTATATCTTGGGGCCAGGAGCTTTTCAGCTGATAGTTTCATCCTGTCCCAAGTTGGGGATTCACAGGATATCACTAGATGGAGTCCCAGAAGTTCCCTTCAACTGAGGAAATGGGGCTTGGCATAGTGGTGCACACTCAGGAGGCTGAGGCAGGAGAATCTCAAGTTGAGAGGATCACCTTGCCAGGACAACTCGGTGAGACACTGTTTCAAACATTTAAAAAAATATGACAGGAATGGGGCTATACCTCTGTGCAAGGCTGCAAGGTGCTGGCTTCAATCCCCAGTTTAGGAGGCAGGGCGAGATGGATAGGAAATAGCAAGCCTCTCCCCACCACCACACACACAGCATAGGTTTATGACCTCTCATCAGAGAACAGCATTCTGGGAGGTGTCCGTGCCAGGCCTGGCTGACTCATTAGAAGTGAAAAGGAAGAGAGCACAAAGGAGGGAGCACAGCTGGGGGACCTGTGGGGCCCAGCTCTGCTGAGGAGGATTTGATTGGGCCCTTTACACACTGCTCTAATCCCAGCACTCAGGAGGCTGAAGCAGGAGAACCACTGTGAGTTCAAGGCCTACCTGAACTACATAGTGAGGCCCTGACTCCCAAAACAAAAAAGAACAAGACCTGACTTTTTGGACTGAATGAGGTAGGTCAGAGTCTGCGGGGGCCATTATGTCAGTTCTGTTTTTCCAGGAAGCTCCCAAAGATGTCCTTCCAAGAAGGGACAATGTTCTTAAAGGCCAATTTGGCCTTCCCTGGGAGGGCTTCCTCCTGCAGGGCAGCTTCAGCTTCTTGCAGAGCCGGTGCTGGTGCTGGGACTGAGCTGCCTGTAGGATCAGGGCAAGGCCGGACGCTTCCGACTACTCCTTGGTAGCTGGATGTCGCTGTAGGTTTCTTTTTTTTTTTTTTTTTCTTTTAATTAGTTTGTTCAGCAGATTTACATCTTGATAATTTGGTAATTTTCTTTTTTTTTTTTTTTTTTTTTTGTCTTTTTCATTTTTATCGGTACCAGGGATCGAACTCATGACTGCCTGCTAGCAAGGCAGGCGCTTATGCCACTGAGCTAAATCCCCAGGCCCCCCCCCCTTTTTTTTCTTGGTGCTTGGAATCTAATTCAGGACCTGGTGCTTGTGAGGCAGGTACTTATCGCACTAAGCTAAATCCCCAGGCCCTGATGTAGGTTTCTTATCTTGCCATCCTCCATCTTTAAAGGGATGAAGTCATGTTGCTTCAGAACTTGTGAACATTGTTTGCCAGGTTTTGGATAGCTGCCCCCTCAAGATTGGCAGCCTCTGTGCCAGCTTACAGAGGGCACTGGACAGTGCCAGACCAAGGCCAAGCTTTGTTCTGCTCTTCGAGGCCACTGGGCATCTGCAGGCCCAAGAGAAGAATCACTGGATACTTTTTTTTTAAACACAAAACCAGCTACTAAGCACCCACTGCCTCAGGAGAAGACACAAATGGTGCTTTTAAGGAGTCCCAAGTTAAGGGCCCAGGAGCTGTTCAGCCCCTGGCGCCCTGGTGCTGTCCAGCTGGGTTAGGCCCAGGTGTGTAGAAAGCGCTACCTCAGCCCCTTTCCATGTCCTCTGCTCTGTTTCTGTGAAGAGATTGGACAGAAAGCACCACCCCACCCCACCTCCACCCCCAAAACCTCAACTTCAAGTCTCTTCCAAGCCTCCCGCACTCTCAACACATGTCTAGTGGGGCCACCTTTGTCTCTGCTACAACTCTTAGGCTCTTTCCTGCCCCCTGCCTCAGTTTCCCTTCTTTATGCCTCCCTCCAATCCCCCTACCACTACCACCTCAAATTGTGCACATCTACATTGATTCCAACTCAGCTGGCCTGGCATCCCACCCTCACTCTCAGGGCAGAAAGTCCTTGCCCCTGGTAGCCCCAGTCCCATGGAAATTCAGAAAACTGGTCACCTGGTCAGGCATGGTGGTTCACTCCTATAATCCCAGCACTCAGGAGGCTGAGGCAGGAGGATTGCTGCAAGTTTGAGACCAGACTGGGCTACAGAGTGAGCTCAAAGCCAGCCTGAACTGCATAGCAAGACCCTGTCTCAAAAAGACCAAGAAACAAGGAAAGAAGGAAGGAAGGAAGGAAAGGAAAGAAAGAAGGAAGGGAGGAAAGAAAGAAAGAAAAAGAAAACTCATCTCCTGAGCCCTCTTCCCACCCCCACCCCCACCCTGCCTCTGGGCACCCCCCATCCTGCCAGCACCCAGGTCTGCTCACTCCTCTGCCCCCACAGCAGGGACTTGAACCAACGCTAGCACCTGCAGCAGGACATGGGGTACTACAGCTGAGACCCACCAGAGGAACACGCCAGTGGCTGTGTGGCGACATCCTTCTGGATTTAGACCCAGGCCAGCCTTGCTGGGAAGTCCCCAGACTACTTCTGTCCCGCCCTCCCTCTGGCCAGCTGCAGGCCTGTGTCCTGGACGGGCTGCTCTGCCTCCAGGGGGGGCTGGGAGCTCAGCCTTGGCTCCCCCCGCCCCCCGGAAGCTGGCAGGGCAGGGGAATTGGGGACTGAGGGGCCCCAGCCGGGGGGCGGGTCCCCGGCAGGAATCCCAGGAATGCGGCCTCGCTTCCAAGGTCTGGCCGCACCTGGCGGCAGCCAGAGGCTCCAGGCCCGGCGCTGGCTGGGATCCTCCGGTTATGGGGCCCGAAAAGACCTGGGAGGAGCTCCCAGGCTAAGGGCACTTTTCTAAAGCTTTAGATTCTGGGGCGGAGTGGTTACAGGGGCATTTTTTAGAGA